CGAGGCGTGTCTGACGTTACTGCAAGTCTACTCCAAAAATAACCAGAGTCGGAAACGAAGCGATGCCGCGGCAGAGGAGGACCAGTACCAGGACCTGCTGCTCATCATGGAGCTGCTCACCAACCTGCTGTCCAAAGAGTTCATCGACTTCAGCGACACAGGTCGGTCATCCTCATGTTTTCTGTCTTCCAGTATCAACGGGAGTTGAGGATTTTTGGGGGTTTTCATTCACTTGAGATTTAACGTTTTTTTGCTGTGTTTTAAGATGAGGTGTTTCGGAACCAAGACCAGGGAACACCAGCCTCCAACCGCACAGTGTCGGCGGCAGATGTGGTTCTTTACGGCGTCAACATTGTTCTTCCGCTCATGTCTCAGGACCTGCTCAAGGTAAAACTACACAACATGGATTTTTTTTAATCTATGACCCAGGTTGGACATATCCTCCGTGTTTTACTGATTCCTCCTGGTTGTTTTCCAGTTCCCGTCTCTGTGTAACCAGTATTACAAGCTCATCACCTTCATCTGTGAGATCTTCCCAGAAAAGATTCCACAGTTGCCTGAAGACCTCTTCAAGAGCCTCATGTTCTCGCTGGAGCTCGGAATGACTTCGTATCCTTTAATGATCTGTGCTCCAGTTGTTACTCAATATTTTTTCCTCAAGATGCGGAAATTTGTCTACAGCAAAGAAGATGATCACATCCTGAAGTAAATTTACAAAACATTGTCATCTTACACTGGTTGCTTATGTTCCCATTGGTCTCCTGCTTTCATCTGGAGTCAACACGACGCAACTGGTGAAGCTGCAGAATTTAAGAAAAAGTTTGTGTTTTGTAGTTTCTTCTCCTTAATGATGTTCTTCAGGATGAGTTCAGAAATCAGTCAGCTGTGTTTGGAGGCTTTGTCTCCTCTGGCTGAACAGTGCGCCAAAAACCAGGAGAAGGACACGCCTCTTTTCATCGCCACCCGTCACTTCCTCAAGGTAACTGCACATCTGTCTGTCTGCCTGCCTGCCTGTCTGTCTGCCTGTCTGTCTGTCTGTCTGTCTGTCTGTCTGTCTGCCTGTCTGTCTGTCTGCCTGYCTGTCTGTCTGTCTGCCTGCCTGCCTGTCTGTCTGTCTGCCTGTCTGTCTGTCTGTCTGCCTGCCTGCCTGTCTGTCTGTCTGCCTGTCTTACTGTCTGTGTGAGAAACAATTTAGTTGAATCAAATCTAAATAATTTCACAAAGGCCAAAGTATTCACTGATGGGCTCTCTTGTCAGTATTATGCTGATTTTTCTTTGCATGAAGCAAATGAGACACTGTTTGTAGTTTTTGGACTTTAGATTTGCTGGTATGTGGATTTTTAGCTGATTGGCTGTGGCTTCATATTTTTCGCACAGACGTCAGCGTGTCTAAGAAAAGCTCACACAAAGTAAAACATTTTCATATTTACCAAAATGTTGAACTGTTTTAAAAAAAAAAAAAAGCCAGAATTGCACCAGTTAGTGGGCTGTTGAACTGTAAAATCAATTTATTCCATTTTGTTTTCTTCAGTTGGTGTTTGACATGCTGGTTTTGCAAAAACACAACACGGAGATGACGGTGGCGGCAGGAGAAGCTCTTTACACACTCGTGTGCCTGCACCAGGTGAGTGACTGACTAATAAACATTCAGGATTCTCCAGTGATTTTAATCTGTTGATGGTAGAATAAGAACACAGACGTGTTTTTTATATCAAGCTTTTCTGTTTGTCAAAGGATAAATGGAGTCGGTACGATTCGTTGGCTCCTGTAAAGTAACTAAAAGCTTTTAAGATGATTGAACAGTTTCTTTACATCAGTCTGTTCAGCAAAGTGCAGAGCTGCTCAAAACAGCAGAAGAAGAACGTTTTGTGAAAGTGATACCATGCGCCCTCTAGTGCCTGATCGGCACAAACACAGCTCCGCTCGGACATTCCATGTATATCAAGATTATCTCATTATATACAGCCTGCAAATAAATGTCCAATTCTTTTAGTTTCATTTTGCTTTCCTCTTTCTTTCCACATAAAATCCAGATTTTATTGTTGATCACAAACTATGTGATCATGAAATTTATTTTAATCCAGAATAATAAACAGTACAGTTACAACAGTCTTTCCTCAAAATATAAAAAATCATTGCTTTTCAAGTTCTTGTTTCTTGACAGTCAATAACATTAAATATTATATTTTGGCTGCTCACTAAATCTCCACTTCTTCTCTTTGACCCTGATCTGATGCATGGTTTCTCCCCTCTGTCAGGCGGAGTACTCAGAGCTGGTGGAGACGCTGCTCTCCTCTCAAAGAGATGCCGTCATCTACCAGCGGCTGGCCGACGCCTTTAACAAGCTGACGGCGAGCAGCACGCCGCCCACCATGGACCGAAAGCAGAAGGTCGCCTTCCTCAAGAGCCTGGAAGAGTTTGTGGCCAACGTGGGCGGCCTGCTCTGCGTCAAATAACCACTGGAAACCGCCTCTGCCTCGAATCGTCATTTTTGAAAAGGAAACCTCCCCCTTTGCGCCCCCTTCCATCCCTATGAACTATGGGTAAAAGAGATGGATCTGAGGACCTCGTTGTCTCTGCGCCTGCTGGGGAATCCATCTCACGCCTGAATGTCGACCTGGTTTTCACCTCCCTGGATTCCTTTTTTTATTTTGGCCCCACAACCGCCATCCTCTCCTGCACCACCCCCACAAGCATGATTGACAGATTTGATGATGTGGTAACCGTGGAGACTAAACTGCAGAGCAGACGGACTCAGTCGGAGGATCACGCCATGTTGGTCTGAAGCGACAGAGCGCTCAGCATTGTAACCACGAGAGACAGAGCAGAGGCTGATGTTGACGGGGTCGCCCCCACCCCCACCTCACCCTACACCTCCTCATGTGCCTGGAGGTCCATAGAACACACACACACACACACACACACACATTCAAACAGTTTGCTGTTATTGAAAAGTGAAGAAGGTTTTTCCAGGGTGAGGTTTCGTAGATGAAGGTTGATTCATTTTAACAGTTCCCACTTTACCACATGCTCAAAAACACACACACACACACACACGCACACACACACGCACACACACACACACACACACACACACGCCCAATCCTTCCCAGAGTGCCTTTGTTTTGTTGATTGTTCTGCGTGTGTGTGTGTGTGTGTGTGGATCATGTCACATGTCAACTGACAACAAATGTCAACTGTGCCTGTCATTCGCTTAAAAAAAAACAACATAAAACACAGCGGATGATCACACACACGTGCACACAGCAGTCACACACGTTAAGTGTTGCCATGACAACAAAGGTATGGCCCAGCCTGGGCTTGCTGAACCACAGAGCACACAAGGTTGTGTGTTTGTTGGCGATGACAGAAAACCAAAATTAGATTTGCATTTCAAGGATGTACATATATATATGTGCATATATGTATA